ACAGCCCCTGCATGCAAGAAGACTTAGGCATGAGCAAAATACTAATTACTAATTAGATACTAATCTATCTGAATGGAACAAATTGGTAAGGACTCTTATACCAAAGTGGATGTGTGTCAGCCTTCGCCATGATAAGTGCGATCCAAATAGTGCTGGGAATAAGGAAGGAGGTAGGAAAAGGAAGCTGGATGCTTCCTACCCTGATCCCTTAGCAGGCTTGGACTGGGAACGATTTTCGACCCTGGCATTTTGCCATCTATACTGGCTAACTTATGCCCCCCCCCTCATAAAAACAAAAACTAGAAGCACAGTCAAACGCGTGCATTTCTAATGTGAAACACAAAACGAATGCAGATTGTGGATTAACCAATCTATCTTCAAGCATCACACAACAACCATGACCAAGACTTCTAGACATGACAGTGACTGCTGCTGCGTAACGTCCGCACTTGCGCAAAGCCAGCCAGGCACCCACTCACACATACTAGGTCTACAACGTAATCAGCCCAAAAAATGTTCATAAACCACCTGGATATACGAAATCTCGCCCAATCTGAACCAAAGTATATTGATCTCTTAGACCATAAATCTAAAGAAAAATATTTTTCCCCATAGATGGCCATCCTAAACTTTCAGATTGGGAAACATCCCAACCTGGCAATAATGCACATAAGACGGGTAATGCTAGTCTTTAGACGCAAAACCCCATCATGCACCGCAACATATTTTTGCAAAATATAAGAGGAACATCGTAGTTTGATTTAAAGAAAGCATTTTAGTTTTATTAAAATTTTGTTTGTTGCAAGGATTCTACATTTTGAAGAAATAGGATTTTACAGTTTGAAGAAATAGAAATTTACACCATATGTCAACCATCACAAGGATGTGCATGACAAGGAAGGGCTATATATACTGCATGCATCATTTAGGTACCTGTAGTTAAAATTGTATTACTTCTTGAGCTCTTTCAGTTATTTACTGTCACAGGTAGGTGCTTTGGCTAGAGAGTAAGCATTGGGGCCGGTATGATTTAAGGAGGGCCGGCCCTCGCACACTGAAATTAGGACCAGCCCACCGGGCCTGGTATCACAGATAACCAGTCCGAGCCTGTCCCTTAGCATAGGGACCTCACTAAGTTTTTACCTGGTGTCAGGGAAATATAAACATTCCCTCAATCCTTTGCGAGACCACATATCTAAGTACAGCACACCTCACAGAAATCACAGAAAATTGCAATATTTGCTTCAATTGAAATGAGTGTGAGACATGCTGATGTACACATTTATTTATTTGGAGTTTTAAAATGGAGAGCTTCAGCTTTTTGCTATTTTTTTGTGACTTTTTCAGAAGGGTGCAGTGCTAATTTGATAAGCATCGTCCATCTGCCATATCCAGATGTTTGGAAGTGTTCTTACTGTTGACCCCATGAAAGATGAGGGAACAGGAGCTAAGAGCTACAGTTTGATGTATTTTGATCAAAGTTTTCCTTCACATGTTTTTAAAAGGTTTCTCTCTAGAATCTGACTGCAAACAAGTCTGCTGTCAGAGGAAAGGCTGTTGAGGTTTATACTTTCCCATTTTCATGAAACAGAATTTATCAATAGGGCTTTAGCTCACTTGGTGTTTTTTTGTCCTAATTACTTTACTTATGATGCTAACAAATCAGCATTGGTGTCTTTTCCTTCCTTTTTTTAAAGTTTAATTAAGATAAACATTTGCACGATAAATATGGTATTACATCATAAATGTAAATAAGTTCAAGGTTGGATTTTTTTCAGAGGATTATAAATGGTTTTAGGTTGTCAAAGATAAACTCCGTTTTTTTTAATACTTCTTATTGAATAAAAGTAATATATTTGCAGGGTGTTGTAAATGGAAAAAGACATTGCATAAGGTGTAGTAAAGGTAAGTAGGTACTTGTTTTGTCTTTTCCTATCGAGATCAACATAGTTTTGCTTGTTTTCTGGTCTGTTCCTTTTTTAAGATTAGCTAAGAGAAATAAACAAACCTGTTGTGCAATGTTTATTTTCCAGAAAAACAAGATGGCATGAACAATTAAACAAATATTCATCTCTCTTTCTTCATCTTAGGGAGGTGTGAATTATGTTGATGGCAGAGTTTCCTCATTAAAATTAAGATAGAAGGCAAATGTATGATTAGAATTTCTTAATTATTCTAATTTACAATGTGCTACTTTGAAATAAAAAAGAGGAATCTATTTCAAGGTTATTTTTCTATATATTCTTGAAAAAAAGTGGTAAAAACTAAAAAACTTTGCAATAATTTTCCCTGCTTTGATATTCTAAACAAACTGATCTTAATTGAAAAATGTCATTTTTAAATACAATTGGGAAACATGGAATCACGGATTATAAAATAAAATTACTCTTCTATATCATGACCTTGAACAGGTATACATGTACAAAACAATCACTGAATGCCATGCATTTAATAGGTTAGTTACTTTGGTGTTCAACAAAAATCTCTTAAAACTATTTGTTTTGATTTAAGATTTTTAGCTAAATACATCTACTCAAAGGTTGGATCTTTTAAAAATACTGTGGTACAAAAGTGGTTCTACCGCAACAAAACATGGATTTAATAAAAAGGTTTTTTGAGATGTTAAACATGAGAGGAGCTATTAAAAAAACTATTTTTACATTGTCTAAGCGATAAAGGTTGAAACAAGGAGCGAGCTTCTTGGTTTCATTTGCAGACTTATGAAGATAAATGCAGATTAGCATTAATTGATAAGCATCTGTTGTTGTCTTTGCCATTTTTAACTGAGGCAAATTCTTCTGAGTCATATCATTGTTAAAAACATCCTTGACAGTTCAAATTCAAAGACATAAGTAAAGAAACTGAATGTGAAGTTAATTTTATTATTATGGTGTTAAATATTGCAAACTAGTGATTTTCTTAGAAATGATTAAGGCATGGTTAATTATTTCTTTTCTGTGGGATTCTTTTCACTAATTTGCTTAATATCAAAGCTTCAGCTTAAGATTACGCTGCTGAAAACTGTATTACACATCCTTATTGGGACTGACAATATATTTGGTGGGTAGGGAGAAAATAAATAAAATGTAGAAACAAATGCAAAGCATAATGATGAAAAAATTAACCCTTTAACTTGAATAACACACTTTGTTTACCACAGGCTCTGTCATATGAGCAATCGATGACCTCATGTTCTCATTGTTGTCTTTATAATCAGACACTTTAGTCACTAGCAGCCAGGTGGCAACAAGAACACAAGGTCAAAGTTCACACACAGATTCAAATCACATCTCTTTCAACTTCAAACTCACCTCAACACTCAAATAACAAAAGCATATTTACTCAAACACTGCACTCTACTGAAGTGTGTTAGTGAGCACTGTGTATGACCTAACATGCATAGGCTAACTAAGCCACTGTTTAGGGGCGTTCCATTAATGTTTAAATTTCATAACAGACAATAAACCTAAAATAATTTTACCTTTTATGAAGAATACTAATGATTTTTATTTAGTTTAAGTTAAGCTTTGAAGGATTTGGTGAGTTTACCGTGTTTCAGTCCCAAAGATTTGGTGGAATCTGAGAGAGAGGCCCACGTTTAACTGGCTTTGTTAAATAACAGTCATGGATTATTGGGTGTTTTCTTAACAGGTATATACGTAAAAACACCAAGCTCACATAGAGAAAGAGATTGAATTTGTAAGATCAGACTACAACTACCTTAACCTGAACATCAGACACTGCAGAATATTATTTCTACTTTTTGTAATTGGGAAGTTCTTAACAGGAGAGGGGCCCAAAATTGAATTCTACTGAGATGCCTACTTTACACTTGGTCAGTAACCAGCATCATTTTGATGATAACCTACTTTGATAATGGAAAACCAAATCAGTTTTTCACAAATTTAAATGAAGTATAAAATATTACTAGAGAGAAAACATACAAGTAAATACCACTTTTTAACCTCAGAACTATTTTGCATCCAAAATTGTCCAAATATTTACGCTGCCATAGAAAGTGAGTCTATACCAAAAGTTTGCAAACTGATACATGGTTTTATAAAACGTTGCAAATGAATACCTGAAAGTGTGGTTCAGATATGTCTTAAACACCCTTTAGTCTAATAACCCTAAATGAAATAGGATAACCAGTTTTACCCAGAAGGCTCTTTCGAATGATAGAGACAGCTGTGTCTGATTAAATCTCTGTATCAATGGGAAACAACCTAGAGCTCCAGAGAAGTAGGCATGATGGGTAACTTTGTGGGAGCTTCAGAGATCCATTGCTCAGGTGGTAAGATACGCACTGGAAAACGTTTGATTATTCGAGAACCTTTATTGCCATAAACAAACAATAAGGAAATTTAAAGACACTGGAAGGCTGGTCAGAGCTGATGGGAAGATGGATGGAGCTGAATACACCAGATATCCTGCTGAACTCCAGGAAAGCTTTACAAGGAATTTGAGTTTCCCTGAGCCTAAAATACAACCAGAGCTATACTAGATGAATAATTTAAGAATATTAATATGTTAGATAGGTATATTCAAATTTTTTTTCTTTTAATTTAGAACATACTTTATTTGACCAACAAGCCTAAATAGCTCCTCTAGCCTACTATTGATTAAAGTGCAACAAAAGGAGGGCCCCACATTTCTTAGATAACCTTTCACAATCTGGGACATACTTTAACCTGAGTGTCTCCATTGGTGGTAAAAAGGTTGGGCTCTGTCGCAAAACCTTGAAACAATTGAGACAAACACGATAAAGCACACAGAGTCGTGGGAGAGGTGCAGGTGAGTCACAGCAAACAAGTTTCACGTTTGCGGAACAGGTTTTCTTTCTTTTTTTTTTTTTTTCTCCCCCTAAGCAGGTGTCCACCCACTGGAGGTGCAGTCCCTTCTGAGTCTGATGTAGTAAGTAGTGAGGCTAAATGTTTAAGGTTATTGGTAAATAAAAATATTGTGAAGATGCCTGTGTGTGCGTGTTGTGAAAGACCTACCTCCCTGTGTCTGAGCGCAGCAGAGCTGGAGAGCGCAGAGCAGGACGCAGAGCACCTGCTGCACCTTCCTCCTGAATGCAGTCATCCTCACTCAAATCTTGAGTCTGATTAACTTCAAACAAACATCACAAGATCATTAGGAAGGAGGAAAATATGCCTCTGTCACCCAAAGCTGTCCTGCGGGATTTCAATCCGAGATTGTCCATTTAGATCAATAAATTCCTCATCGATTATTCCCGTTGGTATCTCGTTTTCCTTATTCCCTTCGCGTTCCGCAGAGGTGAAGGTAAAGATTTGCCCAGAGAAGAAGCCTTTTGGGTTTTGGGTAGTTTGATTAGGAGCTGGAAGTTTCCCAGCCGCCCGCTCCGGTCCGTCTGACAGGAATCACTACAGCTCAGTGATTGTAGCCAATCAGCGGCAGGAGCGGCTCCTTCAGCCGCACTGATTTTATGTGGGCGGAGCCTGTCCGCTGACTGTTAGCCTACCTGTCCATTTTTGAAGAACTAACTCTCTTTTCTTGTGACACTTTAACAATTCAGAAAAGTTTAATAAAAGAGAAATACCTATATATTATTTTTGTTATTTACGGAAGAGGATAAGGGCCACTGGAAAAAATTCAAAAAGGTTAACTGATTTTTAAATTTTATTTCAGTATAATATGAGAAAAAAATCAGAATTCTGACTTTTTTCCTCAGAATTCTGACTTTAATCTCGGAATTCTGACTTTTTACTCAGAATTCTGACTTTTTACTCAGATTTCTGACTTTAATCTCAGAATTCTGTTTTCTGACAGCTAACAAACATGTTAGCATCAAGCTGTAGCCATGTCTGTTTTAGAGATTTGCTCTCCTGTTTTAATCACCTTCTGCTCTTCCATTAATGAAATAGTAACACCGGGGACCCCTCTGGCACGTAAAAAGTGGCCTAATTCCATTATTTTCCACCAATGTGTTACTGGCCCTCCCAAACAACTCACATCTGTGTCAGTGAAGCTGAGTGCTCCAACATCTCTTCCTTCATGGTTCCCATCTACATTAAGATCAAAAGTTCTGAGATTAAAGTCAGACTTTTGAGATTAATTTCAGAATTCTGTGAAAAAACGTTGGAATTCTGAGAAAAAAGTCAGAATTCTCATATTCTCTGAGAAAAAAATTAGAATGCTGACCTTTTTCCCATATTAAACTGAAATAATATTTAAAAATCAGTTAACTTTTTTTTCAGTGGCCCGTAGTTATTAACTAAGGAGATCATTGATTTATCAGGTTGTTGAATGTGCATGTCCTAATTATTCATATTTTTTTTAGATACCCTATGTTTTCTTTCTTCTAAACGATACAGACGATTTGTTCCAATTATATTTTGTCAGATTTACAGTTTAGCTTCATCTCTATGTTAATCAGTAGATCATTCAACAACAGTCTGAAGCCTTCATTACCCTGTATTTCTATGAATCAGCAGTTCTAATGAAAATACATAACAGACCAGATAAATCATTATTTCAGAAATGAGGGATTAATGATTACTAAGTGTATGATCTGCTTAAATGTTCTTTTTCTCCAAACTTTAAGTGTAATAAACATGCTATGTCAAATATAGGAATTATTAATAGTTTTGCAGGATGCATTGTCTGAATCTGAAAGCAGCTTTCAAAATCAACATGGCCTTGTGTGAAAAACAAACTGTCCCATGAATTTAATAACTCCTGTTGCCATTCTTAGTGGCAGCAACTGTTTGCTAAATCCAGGGATTAGTCTCTTGTTTCTCCTTTGTCTTCAATTTATTTAGATGTATTACCAGACAGGTCCAATTTAAGGGATATCTTGATTCAAATGTTCTGTCAGTAATTATACCCTGTTAAGTCTGAACTCAGTTATAAAACAATATGTAGGTAGTTACAGTTAATTTGTAATTTAATATGGGGGCATTAGTTTTTCAAAATTTTGAAAACATTTTGTACTTTTGTCTCAGGTTATCACTTTCCAAAAACAGAAAATTTGTAATGATCTGAATCATTTAATTTGGGATAAAAAGCACCGTCTAAACAAGATCTGGGTAAGAGCTTTGTTGGCGTTTGTTATTTTTTCCTCTCAGGTTCTGTCTTTATTAGTTCCATCATATCAAATAAAGAAGCTCATTACAGAGATGTGGTCAGAAAACTTTTCTCTCTGAAATACTATCCTAATAGCGTGTCAAGGTTGTTTTGGCATGCAGGTAGACAGGCTGCATTATTGAGATAGGAACCTTTCCCAAAAAAGTAAAAAAAACAATAGGAACCTGTGTTTGAATGACCTTCAACCTTATGGACTATTTGTAAGGGTGCGTCACTCCCATTACAAGCCCAAAGTGAGCACTGATAACTAACCAGCGCAAAGCCATGACTTGAAACTCATTGAAAATTCTGTTGTGTGAACGTAAGAAAAAGTAGTTTTTGGCGGGAAAAAGTACCTAGTTTTTGGTACTTGTGGAGAAATGTCATTTTATGCTGAACTGGAAATCTAGGGAAAGAATAGAAAGTTGAGTGTCCCCCCTTTCTGACTAATTTAGAGCTTTTCTGCAATGAACAATAGGCAAAAGCTTTAATATCTAGTTATGCAGAACTGCTAGGGTCAAAACTGGACTGATATGGTACTAACAAAACCGAAAATGAACCGAATTATATATATAGATCGTCGTATTAATTCCCAAAATATACCAAACCAAGCAGACCATTAAAGCATGAGTCCAAAGTTGTTGTTTTTCTCCAGGGATGTCAGGAAGCAGGCAGCTTTAAATGGACCAGAACAACAAGCTCAATATCTGAGCCTAGACAAACGACTCCTATTGTAGCGCAGTAGATTCTTGCTAATATAATTGCACTGAAGGACGGTTGTTGAAGTGTCATTGCAAGAGTGTTGAAGCCAAATGCACACAGATTTTCAGATCTTTGTTTATAAAAGAAAAGTAAACATAAAACACAGTACAATAATGAAAATTGAAGTCTAATTAAAAGCTTTTGGTTACAAAGATGTCTCCCTGATGGATGTGAAAATGTACGACGGCCGAAGGGTCTAGACATCATTCCTGGGCACTCTATAGTTATTGTTTTTCCTTTGGATCTATAAATGCAATATAAGAACTTGACTGCTGCCTCAGTCCAAACTGTTCCACTGTGATCATTGCAAATTCAGTGCTTGTTTTTTTTCTCGCTCCTTGATGTAAAATTAGCTCTATTATTGCAATCAGACGAGATGAGTCAGTGTTTTGTTCATCAACTCAAAGCATTTAGATAGAAAATGAAAAGTCTTTCTGACGCTGTCCACTGCAGCAGACAAAAACACAACTAAATAACCTTTAAATGCTCCTTTCTATCTGCACATTACTCATCGCTTGCTGGTGCAAATTTCCTCTAACAGACTTTGACCCCTCCACTCCTTTCTGATGAAGTTCTTGAGGTGTAAGATCACTTTATTGCTGGTGCTGCTGCACCAGTTTACTGCTGGACTTAGGACTAAAGTTTATGCAAAACAGAAGCAGCAGCTCATTTCATTTACTCATAAGACACATTTCTTCCTGCTTTAGATAAGTTATTTGGCTTTGGCCAACAACAAAAAAGAAAAACAGCTCAAGAGTGGATGAGCAGGCCATACCACTCGGAGAAAACGGGTTCTGCTTGCACATCCAGTCCTTGTCAGGAACACAAACATTTTCTGTTTTTCAATCTACTAAGGTTGAATAACATCAAAAATGTAGAGTGAAGGAAAATAAACCTCTTCCCTTTAAGCAGATAAGAAGGCTGTTCAAAATAAAAAGTTAATATATCACTAGTAACAGGAAGGGGTTATTAAATATATGACCGCGCTTTGTCCTTACGGTTATCTTCAAAAACATTATTAGACTCAAATTAACTCTGTCAGTTACAAAATAATCCTTTGTTAAATGTTTTGGAGGGAATAAAACTTTCAAAACAAGGTCATGCTGAATAGAGGCCTTAGTAGATTTCCCCAAAACATCTAAACATGCTTTCAAACTAAAAGACCGATCTGTATAAGCAAGCATTTTGCCAAAACACATTCATATGACCTTGATTGACAGCCCACTATTACAACATATCATTTATTCCAGAGGTGCACTAGTGAGGTCAGACACTATTGCTGGATGTGAGAGCACAGTGTCATCGGGTTTGTCAGGCTAAAGTCAAGACTTTGTGCAGGCCAGTCAAGTTCTTCCATGCTCAACTAGTAAATCCATGTGTTGATGGACAGTAGTGCTTAGGCTGCATCACCTAAACTCATTCTGCAAATTTTCAAGCTTGAAATTCCCCAAAACACCTTGTTTTGTTGAAGCACTGACTATTTTTCTCCCTGAAACTTTAGCTATAGATCTATCTAAATACTTCACACTACAGCCGTAGTTCTCCTGGAAACTGCAAAACTGGGTCTCATCCAGAGATTTCAGAGAACACATCTTAGCTGCTCTATAATCCAGCATGTGTGATTTACTGCATATGGGCCTTTGCTGATTTAAGGATTGGATGCATCTTGTCTCCTATGAAACCCAATTCCATAAAGGCCTCTATGTCTTATTTTTGGGCTAATCTGCAGGGCCACAAGAAGCTGGGTCTGTAGCTCACAACACCTACAGAAAGGAAGCAAGGGATTTATACTATTTATTTTAGCATCCTTTGATCCAGCTCTAGAACTATATATTTATATCCCTTTATGGCTTATCTAGTGTCTGTTCTAACTGCTTCCGCTTTGTTAAAAGATGCAAAATACTGAATTATATTATGTAGGTGATGTCACAGCCGGACTACAAACACCTGTAGCTATAGAAGTGACTGAAACACCTGAATCTAAAGATGTTGAGGAGTCAGGGAACACAATTTCTAATATAATGATCATCTTATCAGCATTTTAATGCTTTTTGATTGATCCAAAATGTTTCACAGAGAAAAAATGGCCCGTCTTCTTCATTGAATGTAAACACTGAATGTGATCACACCAAACGTCAGTATAGATACAGGTGTTTGTCCTTGTCTTCTATAAGAGGTTGTCTGAGATGCTATGCTAATAGCAGATAAAGAAACTGATGCAATGTGATAAAGCAGTGTGCATGGGGAGTGGGGAGGGTTCGAATCACCCCTGAATCCATCAATTGGATTTTACAAATAAGCTATTTAGCAGTTTACTGTAATGTTTTTAAATTCATCTTGTTTATCCTTTGTTAAATCCATTAAAGTCTAACCAGGAACACTGCAGTCTGCACTCTTCAGATTCACTTCTCATGTATAGAAATCAATGTTTATGGTATTTGTCCCTGTTACATAAAAAAATAAAATATGATTGCCCTCTACTGGTTTAAGCTGTTACTGAGCCGCCTTTTGAGCAGCCTGGGATTGCTTCTCAAGTCAGCTTTGAACAGGACACATGATTTTTTCTGTGAATGCTCCTGTTTCAAGATGTGTCTAAATTTACTGGACTTCATTAGAGAAAAAGTCTTCAGTAGGCATATTATTCTAAGCTTCAGTAAGTTAGACTAAGATCATTTTAAAGCTCTTGTGCCCATATCAAGTTCAAATTTTACTAATTACATGAAAATTAATTATTTTTTAAGTGACTTGTCCATCCCAATTTTGCCAGATTCATATTTTTAAACAAGATTGGTTTTAGATGTAAACATCAGTAGAATTCAATGATTTAGAAAACAGATTGGGTGGAGAATCGAGTGATGAAACTCTACATAATACACATCTCAGTGAAAACTAAGATAAATGTATGACTTATGGCAAATGTTCCTCACCTATGCAAGATGTTAATTAATTATGAAGACTGTTTAATATCCACTAGATACAATGTTTGTACAGTGCCATCTTATGTTTCTGTCTTTGATGCTTTTCTTGGATAGAAGCTGTTCTGTTACTACATGTTTCACACCAGTTCAATCAAACCAGCCCGCTTCCATTTCTGAGCAATCTGTCATGTCTGGCTGAACCTTACGGACCCACATGCAGAATCTGGCTCGGACACGACTGAAGGGAGAAGAGTTTATTGTTAATTCAGCCAACACAGAATGGAGAATAACAGAGTCTCTTAGAATACACTGCCACAGGCTGTGCAGGTGGCTGGAGGTGCGCTGAGGGAGGAGACGTTGGTCACGGAGCTGTCACAGAGGTGGTGAAGAGGGGGCAGTCAGACTGAGGCGATCGTCAGAGAGTTTTCACTGAGGCGGTGGAGAGCGGGCAGGCTGACAGAAACTAAGCTGCAGATTGGATCAGCACGCTGAGTTAGACGCAGAAGGGATCCGTCCAGGAGCGCTTCGATTAAAACCTGGGAATCCAGAGACACAAGAGGTGAGCTATCAGGAAGCTTTCAACAGGAATCAGATTAAACTTTCTCGAGGGGAATTTCACGAGGGCTAGATTGGTACCAGAATATGGGGACCATCAGGCGTGGAAGAGATGGCTGCAGCTCCTTAAATCCCTCTCAGGTGGATGGGTAAATTGATCTCAGGTGCTCAGACAGCCAGCCACGCCCACCTGCAGTGCTCCAGAAGAAATAGAGAAACACTCCACTCAAGGGTTCTGACACAAGCTCTGCATTAGTGGTAGTTCTGGTCTCTGGACTTTCATAAAATCTTTAAAACCTCCTTTAAAGTATCTTATAATCTAATCTGTTGAACTGCTTGCAAAGTCTTAATCATGATGAAATGACTCGTTTCCTTGCAGGTAACCAGGGCTGATGAAAGAGGAAGGACTGCAAGCACCACTCCCTTTTAGCAACTATAACTTTCATGTAAGTCAGTCAGAATAACAGACTAAGCTTCCTTCTTCTCTTAGATGAGATGCACTAAGCTGACCATAGGATCATTGAAGTGATGGCATCAGGTCTGGAATATGATGCAACTGATCCTTTGATGAAAACAAACTTTAGTCCACAGCTACAGAGGTGAAAAGAAGAAAATTAAGGAGGTGTGGCTTTGTTTGTCATCAGTCAAAATGAAGAGGCAGCAGAGTTGTACAGAAAATGAGTTTATTTCTTAATACAGCAGGATCTGGTCTTACATCACATACAGATGTCTCCATGCATTTAGCACTGGGACATTATTTTTTTTTTTAATCTATTTGTGCAACTATAATGTTTAAGAATGAATTACAGGGAATATTTTCTTTCCCCCCCCCCAACACTAAATACTACTGTTTTAAGGACACAGTCTACATAAGAGTTCATTCAAACCCCGAAGGAAACCAAAGAACTCTAACCACCAAACGTGAATCCAGTTTACCAGCAGAACAGAGCAAATACTTTGTAAGGAAATGTTTGCCTTACCGTGGAGAAGTGAAGAGCAAATCTGCTTTTTGAAAGCAATAAACTGCAGGTTGTATTTCTTTAAACAGATAAATATATGCAGGTTAAATTAAACATTTAGGAACAAAAATCCCATTCCCAAACTGTCTTATACGTGTTTGGTATGAGAAATGTATTGATAAGGTGTCAGAGAGGATGTACAGTACATTTCTTGAGTATTGCACAAGAAAACCATCTTAATAACACAGAGCCCCTTGCAAAAGTATTCACACCCCATATGCTGTTCTTTTGATATGTTGTCATTATGTTCATAACAGAAGTGTATATTTTTTGTCAAAACAGTGTGAGAGACCAACACAAAGTAGTGCATAATAATCAATTAGTAAGAAAATAATCCTTTTTTTGGTTTACAGTATAAATAATTAAAAAAAAAACATTACCCTAACACACCAACATCACTGTAAAACGTAGTGGCTGCATCATGCTTAAGGAAGCCTTTCTTTAGAGGGGATATGGCAACTAGTCCGAGTTGATAGGAAGGTTGAGATGATGGCGGAGAAGCAGGTATAATTTGTGTTCTTCACTTTGGTTTATCACACTAAAATCCAATTACATACAGTGAAGTTTGTGGTTGGCAAATCGTGAAGAGTTGAATACTTTTGCAAGATGCTGTTCAGATCGAAAGCGAGCCAACGATTTTTTTTTAAAACTACAACACCAACATGTTGATTCTCTTACTCTGTTGTCCGTTAAATGAATTTTGCAAATACATAACTGGGACTGTAAACCATTAATGACAACAGCCGGCTGAAGACTCCTTCATAATATTCACATTTAGTAGTGCAGTTGCAAAGACAGAATCAAATTGGAAAACACCAATATCCAAAGCTATTGGAGAGCTGGAGAGATGGTATAGACACATTAGAGCAGGGGTAACCAAAAATCAGCGTGGTCTGAATAAAGAAAATCAACAACCAGTTAAGGTCCGGAGACATTTTTAATTATAATCTGTTACTTTAAACAGAATTTAATACTGAAATAAAATGAGGTGTTTATGCATCCAAGTTAAAAATTGACTTTTTAAATAAAAAATACATAAAAAAAAAAAAACATTTTCCATTTTAAAACCTGAAGTGTTTTTTTGAAGTAGAGAACAACAATTGTTCAGTTTGGTATACAGACATTTCCAGATTCACATATTTTATAAAACACCTGAACTGACCGTTTGTTATTTTTTTCCCCTTTCTTTTTTATGACTTGAGTGAAGTGGGTTTTAGGCTTACCTGCACGGTTTTAAACCTGGGTTTGAATGGTGACAAAGCTAATCTCAAGCACATATCAACGAGCTTATTTTGAGCCTGGATTGATATTTAGTTTTGATTATGTTCATGGTGGAGAATCCTGCTTCACAGCAGAAGTTTGAGCCAAACATACTCAAAATGGTCTTTTTCTTTCACCAGTTCACCGCAGTTCTTACAGCAGTCCACACTTTCTTTCTCTTTTTCTCATTGTCTTCTCCTTCTTTCCCAGCGCCCAGCTTTCCATAGGTTTGCCTGCTTTGTCTAAAAGCAGCTAGCAGCAGTAGCCCTGACTGACACAGGTCATTGGCTAATTTATATCACGTGTAGCCTGGTCCCGGACGTTCTGGATGGCTTTACCGTACAAACAGGAGAAGCGGTTCAAGTGAAACTAAACACTGCTGTTGGAGAACATGCGGTAATTTATAAATGTTTTAAATCAGATTGGGTCGGACTGCTAATCCGTGACCTCTGCATTAGAGGGTGGACAAGGAGGAGCTTTGCGTTATCAAATGTAAATGCCTGTGTTTCACTTTAAGGCAGATGAGCAAATGCTGCCACCTGATGCAGAAAGCACTGTTTTCTTCATTTCAGTTTAGTGAAGAAAATAAGGGCAGGTTAGAAAAAATTTACAAGCAGTGTCCTCGCCTGCAGATCACCGAATGGAGACGCGATGCTGATTAAAGGATGTGTGCAGGTCAGGAAATTAAGAGAGTCTTTCACAGCTTTAAATTCCTAAAAAGGACAGTTTGAATGCTTTGTGTTGCTGCAAACACAACATGGATTTTGAGAGGTTTCTGAAATGTAGCAGTGAAAAGATGCGTCTTATTATTCTTATTCCTCCACACCCAGCATACACATTTACATTGACTGAAAGTTTTCAACGCTGCATAAAAACAGCAAAGGAGAGGAAACCATCAGAGCCAGTTATGATGGTATTATTCAGTAGTAGTAATACTAGTAATGTAAACATGGATCAGCATCCTCACACACCTGAACTGCAAAAATGATGTGAACCGGACTGTTGTTTTAAACTCTGCCCCCAAAAATCTTTAGAAAAAAGTCCCAATTTCCACTTTGCCCCAAGATATGTAGGGGATACAGCAAACATTGACTTTTTGGTCTGGAAGCAGGAGTGGCTAGGTGTTAAGGAAATCAAACATAACTACAGGATATCATAGGACTACCAAACTATGGCAGTGAGATGAAGTTTGTTTCGTTTTTAGGGGGGCCACCCTAAATGATTGACGGCGGTGACAGCATCATGCTGTGGGGATGCCTTTATTAGCATGGACAGAGACGTTGGGGTGACTTGATGGGAGTATGGCTCAAGCTACATACAGGGCATAAATTAATTTGATTTTTGTGGTGATAGATGAAAAATCCTTCTTTTGATGAAAAATCCTTCTGCTGTCTGCTCCCACATCGAAACGCTGATTCAAAATGTGTTCAGTATTGTTAAACAAAGAAGAGAAAAACATTGGAACCTGCAAAAAGCTATTGTTTTGTAAAATATGGATCTTTGACAGGACCACTGCTGTTTACATAAACGACTTACAGCTTAAAAAACAAAACCTGGACACAGCAACTACAGAAAAACACAGAGGACACTAAACCGAAGACAAAGGTGGACGGAGAAAAAGTAAGTGTCTGTCGTGCCTTGTTACCATTATTGTGAATTAGTGTATGTGGTCAGATATGAACTTTTTATCTTTAAATAACCAGAGCATCGAGCAAAAACATTTTTTCCTCAAAACCAGGGTCTTGCTTTGCATCTACCAATCGAAAACCCTCGTACCAAACCCCTCCCCCTCCATCCCAAGAGGAAAGAAAACACTGGATCAGGGGGGTGGCTTGCTGGCTGTGTTTTACAGGTTTGCCCGCTCTTACTTTTTGTTCTTTAGTTGATTAGCCAGCCAGTCGAGGCCCTCATAGAGGCCGTCGCCACTGGTGGCGCATGTGGCCTGGATGTACCAGTTGCGGTGACGCAGGGAGTGTAAGCCCAGCTTGTCTGTGATCTCAGCTGCATTCATGGCGTTAGGTAAATCCTGTGAAAATGGGGGGAAAAAAAGGTTAGCGTGTAAATTAAGGGGGGATCATATTTCAACCAAGCCACCACAGAACCAATTCGAATTCTCTGATCCCCTCTTAAAACAAGACGTTAGACTCTGGTCTAAACTAATTAAAGCACAGATCTATCTGGAAAAGGTTCTGAGAGATAATGAACTTCCACCAGCTCTGCATAAGATCAAAGAACATTTAGCTGTGGTGATTAAACCAGCGAGTATTAATAAAACCAATAAGACACTGATTGTTTCGTTTTCGTCCTTGTTAAAAGGTTTAAAACTCCATCAAAAAGGTGAATACATATTGAATCGGTATGTAAAATGACTACTTCCTGACTCATTTGATGTCATGGCATCATACAGCACCCTAGTGGGTCACGTGACTGAATGAGGAATTTAGCGTCGTCTGATAACTCTGAATTATTTTATGCTATAAACAACAAAATGCTGGAATTGTTTTCTCTTGTGATTTTATTTTGTACAAACTATCAAATGAGAAACTATAAGTATGTGCTTTCTATTTGAACTTTAAGAGTATCATAAAAAAAGTTATCATTAGATAAGATTCCTTGCCTGTTTATTTGCAAACACAAGCAGCACTGCGTCTCTCAGCTCATCCTCAGCCAGCATCCTCATCAGCTCCTCTCGAGCCTCGTTCACACGCTCTCTGTCATTACTGTCCACCACAAAGATCAGACCTGAAGCAGTAAAAGAAAAAAATAAGGTGCCGAGTCCAAGATTTTCTAAACATAAGCAGACATTTGTTACAGCTTGCTAATTAGCTCTGCTCACCCTGAGTGTTTTGGAAGTAGTGCCTCCAGAGGGGCCGGATCTTGTCCTGTCCACCTACGTCCCACACAGTGAAGCTGATGTTCTTGTACTCTACCGTCTCAACATTAAATCCTGAGAAAAAAAGGAGGACGTCATTCTACATGTACCGTGAACACAGAGGAAGACCGCCGATAAGCAGTGAATGCAAATCGCTCAGCACAAACCGATTGTCGGAATGGTGGTGACTATCTCCCCCAATTTCAGCTTGTAAAGGATTGTCGTTTTCCCTGCCGCATCGAGCCCCACCATCAAGATTCTCATCTCCTTCTTTCCTATGAGGCTCTTCAGCAAATTCCCAAAAATATTCCCCATGATTTCAGGAAAGGTTCTGTTACTTCAGTCAGGGTGATGGTGGCAGTTTTTTTGTCGTCCTGTGGAGACTGACATTCAAGGAGGACTGAAAAGAAAACAAAAACCTTTAAGAGAGACAGAATTTTCTACAGACCAAAAACAAACATTAAAAAAACACCTCTTGAGGCCTTTTCAAAATGGTCAGCAGCAACTATCAGTTTGTATGTTAATAAATTTTTAGGAAAATTGTCTACCAAATATTAAAACTGCCTTTTCATTCACCAAAAAGAATTACCATGCTATAAATGGGCTTTCTGTTCTAATGGTAAATAAAAGTTTTGGTGAACCTCAGGGGTCTACATTAGGTTCACTACATTTGAATGTGTTTACTATGGAATATTCTGTAGTCTGTTCATGATATATGTGAAAATTAAAGACCAGTTTGCCATAATCTGTATAACCAATCAAGACTAGATCTCTGACTTGTTATTTACTTAAGCTTTATTTTAGATGTTGCTGTAGAAAGAAAATGACTAGTATAGAAATAAAGCATTGAGGATTAAAGCAACACTATGCAACTGTTTACCCAGGTATTAGATTAATTTTAGATATATGAAATATTTTTTCTGGTCAGTATACAACATCTGGTGTATTCTGAATCTGTTTTATCATCAAACTGCTAGATAAGAGCGTATCAATACAACTTTTGCATTTTCTATACGATACAGATTTTAATTTTGACTGATACAAATGCTCATATGGTATATCAGCATGAATAATATAGACGTGTAGTACTCATAGTGTCAAATTAAAAAAGGTGACATTATTAAATATTATTATTCAAAGAGAGAGCAATAGTTAGCAACAACAGGTATGCAAACAAAAGACCCATTTGTTATTATCCAGTGGGTTAAATAAACTTTAGAAATGGACTGTTTCTATCAGCTTGCTTTTGTAGATGAGGGTCAATTTATCCCAATTTTTATTCTTTGGCTAATATCTGATCGATTTCAGATATCAATTTAAGATTGGGAAATCCCTACTGCTAGAGACTGCACCGAAAAATTAAACTCACTGACAAAATAAAAGTAAACCACAGCACTAATCATGCCTGTGCCGAAAACTGATGTGAAGGCACAGCGCAAGACAGGTGCAGGGCTGTTACAGAGCCACAGTCAGCCTCACAGAAGGTGACAGAGATGCATGTCTGTGCTATGACTCGAGGCAAAGGCACAATCTGTTCAGACTCCTTTCACAGCTTTTCATTCTCCTTCAAATGTTAGCTTGCAACCACGCCAACCCCTCAGAGCACATGCAGCATGTCCTACATTACCAGGCCTGGCTTGGATGCATTTAAAACACGAGCCAACAACTATGTCACCAAATACTGTTGAAACAGAAAGCAATAAGTCAGACAGCAAAACCGGACTCCTATAATCCAAGTTTTTTTCAAACTGATGCTATGCCATTTTAGTCTAAAGGTAAAAGACAGTTATTTTAGGGGGACTGGGTAAAGGCTGAAACCAAGTTTTTCTTTTCTTTCGCAGGGGCTCAGTTTTAGCTGCATTACAGGTTGTGGAAAAGGCTATTTATCTTTCATGACAATAAAAAAATCTATGCTTTTGCACTGGAGATTATGATGGGTATCAACGTTGAAAACTGCTGTTTTTTTGCTATAGTCTTCAGGTCAATTTTCCAAACATAGTAAGACTTAAATGTCAATACCATTAAGTAATTTAGCCTGGTGAAGGAGTAACAAAAAGTGACAGCATAACATTTAATAATTACTTTATGGCAGATGTATTAATCTATGGATGGGCGGTGGAAATACATGGATTAATGGAAAACATTTATTCTTATTTTATGACCATTTGACTTTCTATTTCAGAATATTGTACATTTGTTTAGGCGATTAAATGCTTGGAGCATAGTCAGGAAATAATTTTCTACTAAATTATTTTCCATGGTCATCCATATTCTGAGGATATCTTTGAAATCCAGTATATATAGAAATTAGCTATACTAAGCAACATAAGGGCACTTCAGCAACTACGCATCAGTTTACACTTCAATATGCAAATAACTTTAAAAATGCAGCATTAGAAAGTCGTGTTTTATTGAGAAATATTAAACGCATGTGCTGTTAGGACTGACTTTGGGAACATGATAATATCAGGTATAAGATGGGATTTTGGAATTGCATTATCTGAGGAATGGAGAAAGTAGCTGTTTTATTCAATTGATTTTTTTTGACTCGGTTTGTCAACGTAGCAAAAAGATAAACAGGATTTTTTTTGCATCTCTGTCCATGGTGCTGAAAAGGGATCGCTGCGTGCAGGTATAAAGGGGAAACGGGGCCTGAGGATGCCCCCCTAAGCAGCACCGGTGTCTCAGGTTAGCTTGGAATGCTACGTTAGGTTAGGTAACGTTATATTCGTTAATCTGCACCTCAGATAAATTACATTTCCCCATACGAGTCCCAGTTTAGCTGTAGCTAAGTTATACGGAATTATCAATTAGGAGATACTTTAATATTAGACACAACTGAATGCGAAGGTTGCTATCGTTTGAACCGTGTTGATCCACCCCATTCATCCAGTCATCTATCCCTCCCCACCGCGCATCACCTCAGAGGACATCCCGCTACAACCGCGGCGCTCTGAGACAGCGAGGCCGCTGCACAAAGGAACCGTTCCCCCGTTATAATTCACTCAGCTGTCTAAACCTAGGTGTAACGTGCCATGTTGATAGAGCAGGCTGTATCCTCTCTTACCTTAGACGTGCAGTCCACAACTGAAAGGTCTCACGAGATCTTCCGGATGACTGCTCAGCAGCAGACGAAACCTCGCGATGATAAAACTACAGCGGTATGTAGTACCTTTGTAATTAGAAATTAACTGGGGTCTGTGATTTTGTGTTTTAATTGTGTATTTTTTTCTCTGTTACGATATTAAATTATTTAAAGATTTGACAAATTATGAGTTGGTGGTAAATATATTGAGAAAATCCTCAGCACACCAATTTAAGATAAGATGGATATGTTTAAGTTTACGCAATTGCTACTTTGCAACTTAAATAGGAAAAGTCACTCAGAACCTATTTCCAAATGAAAGATGCTGATAAAATCCCTTTTTAATGTTAGTGCTAATTTGACGAGTAACTAAAGAACTTTGATTGCTGAAATAACAACAAGAATCCCTTCTTTGACTATTGAAGCTGGAAGATTTAACCAAATAGTCCTAGAGAGAGTAATATGAACAAAGACAAGAAGAAAGTGAAGTACATCTTATTTTTTTATTGGCCTCTGTGTGATGACTTTGTATAAAGTGATTATACCCGATAGATTTTCCCTTTTTTGTCCCACTTGAACCACATATATTAATATATTTATTGTATTTTATGTAGTAGACTAACACCAAATGAAGTACATTTTTAGCCGGAAGAAAGGAGATCTATAGTTTTAAATTATTTTTATGATAAAATGCTGAAAACACCCCCAACATGGACTGTTGTCCCTGCTGCCCTCTGGGAAGAGGCTTCGACTTCAAAGCATCCGATGCAGGTTCCAGCAGATTCCAGCACAGCTTCTTCCCCTCTGCCATTAGACTGAATGTTGAATAAAATAAGGAAAAAAAGCTGAATGTTGGAAAACTATAAATCATATCTCAGTCTTATATTTACATTTGATCACCATGTTTAGATTTTATCACAAATGCACTTTAATAAATTGAAATGTCTTGAGAGCTGTTTGAAATTTAGTTTTGTATACACCCTGTGTGTACAGAATGACAATAAAGTTTGTCAAAAGTTCAAGTCTAAGTAAAGTGTGATGTGCATTTTGTATTCGTGCCAACTGAGTTAACTGGAAGTCTTTTGAGTTTTATATTTCTTCTAGATTTACATGTATGGTAAATGAAATGTTTGCTCCATTTCTATGGTAAAAAGCTTAAACTCAACCCCAAATTGGATTGAAGGGTTCTGAAATTTCTTTTTCAATTATTGCCACTTATACTCAACAGGACTTGAGATTTTTAGCAGATGAATGTGCCTTGATCTCAAACATTGCATTAAATCTCTTGGTTTGGCAACTGCGAACGGTTCTTTTACATTTTGTTATTTGCTGATAAAGACTTTCCTTGTGCGGGTTTTCATTTTGAGTGGAAAGTCATATCTTTGTAGTTTAATTATTCTCTTTTAGCAAAACAATGGGCTTTAATTTATTTTTTATTCCTTTTATCTTTTACCCAATTTTATTGATTTGATTGTGTGGATGTTATTTTTCACCTTTTTTTTTACTGATTTTTTTAAAATCTGTACAGTTTTGTGTTTTATTTATTTATCTTTCTGTACAGAACTTTGGTCAGCTACGGTTGTTTTAAGTGCTTAACAAATAAAATTGGATTGGATTCCTGTTTTTAGAAAACATGTTAAATGATTTTTTGTAAAGTGCTAAAAGGTTGGGATATTGCTAAGTATATAACCCAGCCTGATTTAAACTTATATATTACCTGTCTGCTGTGTCTCTTGCTCATCATGAAGCAGTTTACTCACTAATATTCTCTTACAAACCTCTGAATCATTTGAGGAAATTGCTGCACTGGATTTTCCCATGGGTTATCAGAGTAAAGGATTAACAGAAATGCCCTTTTTTTTTACTGGTACCAACCCATCAAATAACATTCCCATAAAAGACACTGCAGTTGTGATTTTTGTCTGATGTTGGAATGAAACTATACATTTACATGTAAGGCAATGTGTGCATACATGAAATGTTTAATTGGATTATCTTAGAATATAGAACGAGTAGATTCATTTGAATAAACTTTGGGATGGATTAGATTCTATGTGGAACGTTTTTTAATGTGTCTGGGGCTCTTGTTAAAAACTGGTGTTAGGTAAATTAAGATAAATTTGAATGAATGTAAATAAATTGTTATGAATAATAAAATTTTGCTTTCTTATTAGTCCTCATAAAACAGTAGGTGAAGATGTGACCATTGCTCTAAACATGCTCAAGTATTAAGAAGGTCAACCCCAAAATGTTCTATAATATTAATAGTAGCACCACTGAAAAACATTAAAAACTTTTTGTGAATCACTGTGCAA